CAGAGCAGTGGGGGGGGGGGGAAGACCCAGCAGGCTCCACCCACTACAGGATGTCTGCAGAAAGCTACAGGAGGGGGCAGATGCCAGTCTCCCTGCAAAAGGAGAGAGAGAGCACCAGTGACCAGTCTTTATTAGAGGAAGCTCCTGCACAAAGAAGAATTTTCACACTGCATTACTGCCCAGATCTGAAAAAAAATGCACAAAGCACATGAAGATTCAACTAAGGTCATACATGCCTCTTGTATTTAGACAATATTTGCTTATCCCTGAGTTCAGCCTTTAACCTCCCTGGCGGTATTCCCGAGTCTGGCTCGGGGTTAATTTTCCATACCAGGAGCGGTAACCCCGAGCCAACTAGATTTACTCAGGGTAGTATTAAAGCAAATATGAAAGTGTATGTATAGTTAAAACTTTTTTTTCCTTAGATTTTGGATAAGCTGGACATGTTAAAATCTCCATCAGGTTTTTACTGCTGGCTGACTCTCCACTGAGGAGATGTACCATCTCTACCATCAGTGATAAGAGATTCTGAATTTTACAGTTGTCACTAGAACAGGAATAGAATGGAAATGTTCCTATGTGTCTTGCGGTCTGTTCCTGGGAAAAATACAGGTATCATTGCTGACCACCTCTGAAGATGCAAGTTTTATTGCTGCCATGCTGACCATAGATGTGCCTGTGCTGTGGGCCCTAATGGCAATTCCCTCCTGACAAAGTGTGAGAGTAGTGATACATATGAAGGTTACCAAAGAGCCATCAAGGAAAAGGGATAAAGTCTGTTCAAACCAAATTTATACTCACCTTCCCCATTCTTCTTCACCACTCTATTCCTATGGGTCTCAATTCTATGTAAGCTCTGTGTCAGATGGCGTCAGAGCTTGTACTGGGATGATGACATTATAGTCCTCTCTTAAAATGTGTCCTAGTCACATGTGCCAGAGTTCCAGAAAGTAAAGTGAGATCTAGTAATCTGCCCTTAGTTAAAATGGCCTCTGTCAGAAGGCTGGGAAAGAAAAGAGTAATAAGGTATGCAAAGAATAATAATTATTATCTATAATAATAATATTATTATAATAATTAATAATATAAGTAGATGCCTGTTAACATACAAGCGATCCGCTGGCTGTAGAGCCGGCGGATCACTTGTATGTTGCAACGATCGGTGCGTCCCCTCCGCTGTCCCCCCCGCCATTGTCCCGCTGATCCCGAGCTCCGCTGTGCCCGGTGCGAGCCCGGGATCAGCGCCATGCCTGTGTAACAGGGGATCAGAGGTCCCATCTCCTCTGCAAGAATGCGGAAGTGTTGTATATTACATCACTTCTGCATTCTTGCATCACTCTCCAGCTTCAGAAGCTGCAAAGAAGCTGATGGAGCAGATCTGTGCTTCATCAGCTTCTTTTG